AAAATATATAAATATAATATTGTATCCACCAGCAAGAGGTGCAAATCAGTAATCAGAAGTGACAAATATGACCACCGCAAAGAGTATTAATTTTAAAATAATATCTGTAATAACCACCACCTCAATTCCAAATCAAATTTTTACCATAAAAATCGAATATAAAGCAGTATCTGAAACTGATGTGAAGAATTTCATGGTATAAATATCTTAAAAGTATTTTTAGTTTGTGTATAAAGATAACGTCATAACTATATTATCATTAGTAATGGAGGAAATCTCCACTCAGAATTTACAAGTTGATGATATTTCATTGATATAACCATTTCGTTACTATAATATTCTATGAACCTTACTGTAGTCAGAGATGTAAAATGTCATGTTTTCAGTGACTTGTTGAAACTTTTCAAAAAAATTGAAACTTTTCACTGACACTTTTATATACCTTTAATTTGTTTTGTATATAATTCAATAGCTTTTTTTGACACATCTAAATAATATTATCAAATTATTTAAAAGTGATTTAGGTATATAATGCAATTATTAGATGCTGGCCATCTTAATTGCATTTAAATGGTAATTATTGAATACTAATAATAATTATATTGAAGTAGTGTTTAATTATTTATTTTTCTATTAATTTATCGATTTTTCAATAGAAAATAATATTAACTTTTATGACTGTACCAAACTTAGACTAAAAATAATATCAAACCTCATAAATGTAATAAATACCTAACAATATTATTCAATTATTAAAAATATTTTAAAAAGCTATTGGAAACACGATCTATGTCTACTATATGATATCATTTATACTCAGTTTCAGTGGCGTATACAGGGGGTGGGCACAGTGGGCTGCAGCTCCCCCCCCCCGAAATTACAGTATTTTTAAATTGAACAACACCATATTATTTTATTGGGTACCATTATAAATTATAATATTTCATAGCCTGTTGAAAAATAACAAATGCGAAAATATTTATAGAAACTTTTAAATATATAGTAGACGGTAGCCTCTAAGTAATAGATCACTTGCTAGTTTCTGACTTCTGTCTATTTCTATATGCGCCACTGCTCAGTTTCGACATATAGTTATCTATAGTGATTGTTATGATTGAGTACTAGAGTCAGATAAGATATCAACTTTTTTTTAACAGGTATACAAAAATATATGGCTGTAAAGTGTAAATTTAAGATATAAATACCTTCCGAAATACTAAACATCACAAATAGCAAGTTCACAAAACATTGGCAATTTTAATTTTAATAGATCACAATTTTACAGACTTATGTAACGATTATGAAATTAAATTTTGATATTGAAAAGTTTCAATACTTTTCATTTCAATAGCCTTGAAACTTTTCAAATTTCGTGAAAAGTTTCACTTGAGAATTTCTGAAACTTTTAAGCCTCACATCTCTGACTGTAGTACGTCATTCAGAACCATTAAAATATGTAACAAAAATGTAAAGTTTGTATACTTGGTACATAATAGTATAACAATATTATACTATAACACTGACCAGCGCCATCCAGCCTGAGGTCTACGGTGAGCAAGCTAATAAATTCGACAAAACTCCTATCTTTCAGCTCACCCGGCGCAATGTATATGCAATTTAGCTACATTGCTGTTTAAAGTACAGTAACACAATCACTATAACATTTCAAGGGGATTCGATACTGCGACCGTTTTTAAAAGTGTCTAATTTTAAAAAAAAATTTAAGGTGTGTGCGTAGGTATTATGTGAATATATTATACATATTAAGTGATCATAATACTAATAAGTGTGTGAAATAAATAGTTGTGCCCACCTGCAAGCTCGCACCAACATGTGTACAACGCGCTACAAGAATATATATTGTATATATTTTAATTTTTTTGTTTCATTTGCCAATTGTATTGATTTATTATTTTTATTACAACTCAACACACATGAACTATCTCTATTGAATTATTGTTAATAGTTGGAATATTATTCCGTAAATAAACAGTTATTATTATTATTATTTAGTTAGCTAACTGTTAGCCGATAACATTCCTGAAACCAAATTTAAACTCATCGTGCAATTTACTTGAAAACAACCTTGTTACTTTTTTAATTAATTTTTTTCGAGTTCAATATTATTAAAATGTAAAACTTCTTAATATTTAAAATTGTATTCTAAAATGTTGAAGAGTTTAAGAGTTTATATTCAAAAACAGTTGTTAATAAGTAGATACTGAATATAAAGAATTTAAGTATGTTTTCATAAGTCTTATCTAATTATTATAATAGTCAGTGAAATTCACATAATATAAGTAGGTATATTTTTATATACAAATAACCAGGATTGAATCCCCTTAAAAAGTGACATGTCATAAAATAATATTATATAGTTTTTGTTTTATGCTTGTCTGATGAAATTATTTTTTTCAAATCCTGACATCACGATTTGTGTCAAATCAGATATTTTCTTCTATTTAGTAACCTAACAAATATATAAAATATTTTATAAGCATTATATTATTTTCATATTACTTACTTTATACTTAAGAACATTCTATAAATTTAATGTTAATTTTAAGTTTATAATATTTTATCAGTTTTTGATTCTACTAGGATAATGACAATAAATCGAATAATATCATAATAATTGCATTTACTTTATTACTTTCTAATTATTTTCTAAATACATTAAATTTATAACAACAATATTATTTGTTCAGAGATTCTCATGAAATAAAATCAGAAAAAAATTACAATATCGTTGGTTATTAAGTATTATATTTTGCTCAATATGCATACCACATCGTTCTTTTTATTACAGTAACAATATATGAATTCTAATACATTTTTAAATTCAACCACTTTTTAAATAATTAATTTTAAAATATTAGTCGTTATGTCAAAACAGTGTTTATGTTTGTGTACATAATATTTTGTTTTGGTATAGAAATAAAAATACATTTATAAGGTACTTATTACAATTTTATGGTCTTTTAATCCAAGTGTAGTAACCTTTAAAAACATAACTTTACAGAAGACACTTTAACCAAGTTTTTTTTTTATCTAATTCATATCAGAATTAAAAATTGGTAATAGTACATCTTCAAATTAACTTTATGTATGACCTGGTCGAGGCTTAAAGAAACATTTGTCGACATAATAATTATTATTGTGTACTGAATGTTAGTGATAATGACATGGCGTACTTGGTAGATTGTAATAACAATTAACTATAATTTATAAACTTATTGTGTCCAAATGAAAATAATAAGACCTGTATTTGCCGTATTTTTGTAAGGACGTTGACTGTGAATAACAACTATCAAGTCATAGGGAAGTACTTATTATAGTATACTATTAGGTAACCCTTCGTTTTTTTCGTTTTATTTCAAAGCTCATAAATGAGTGAAGTGTGCATGTCTGTTTTCAAATTCAAGACACTTTCTTGTATCATGTAATAAGAGGAATTCCACTTACTACTGTATAAAATAATAAATATGTTAAATTATGTTATTAAAATATACAGTCATTCTATAATACGTCATAGTATGTGTTTTTAAATAATAAAAAATATTACATTATGAACGCTTTCAACTAAAGCAGTTTTAATTGTTTTAATTTTAACTGTTTTTTTTTCACTTTATTCCTTGTACTCTAATCTACTAATGTGATACCAAACGTTTTTGAAGAGTTTGCGATTTTGCGTGCATGCGTGTATTTTTATTTTGAATGTGTACATACTAAATATATTATAGTAATAGTGACTAAAAAGAGTGGCTGTAGCGTTTAAGAATTACGTTATTTACGTACATGTGACAAATCTCCATTAGTATAAAAGTAATATTTACAGTAAAAACCAAGGACTTTTTGTCACCAATGAAACTATTATGCGATGAGTAATCTGAAATTATTTTTTAATTTCTTATGAAGTTTACCGGGTATTGACCGTTCAACTTGTTTGATATTTTTTTCAATTCTATAAGATCACTGTTTAAAATGTTTACATTTTTAAATTTTAAAATCAAATTTAAGAGGAAGGATAGATATTGCATTAAATAAATTACATAACGAATTCAAATATGTTTTTGGATATCTTATCGCATTGCTATAATTTCATTGATAACACCGTGAAAATGAAGATTGATAAGTTGTATTGGTATTTTTGTCAAAAAGAAAATCACTTTAAGTTTTTGTTGTCTCTCATAAATTTTAGAATCACCTGAGTCCAGGCATTGACAAAATAATTATTATAATATCTATAATATTATCTGAAAATTTCCCAAGGCCGAAACTAATACTATATTGTGTCAATTTTAATTAAAATTATTCATGCACATATTTTTTTTTCTAAAACAATATGTAGTTGTAAATGTAATTATATAAGATATCACACGGTTGTTGTATTCTTTTGTAGTGTACTTTCATTTAATTTTATTCAAAATTCAATAACTACTGATAATTTATTATTGATTTCATGACGAATAAACATTATGGTGATTTCAATTTACAATATTGACAATTCTTAATTAGTACCTATACGGTTAATATTTTAATGATTATAATATGCCGGTTTAGATTTGAATATTTAATGAATTTTTATTATTAAAAACTTGTTTTATTTAACGACTGTTAATATAATAAATTCATTGAAAATAGCATTAACATTTGATTATCACAATAATATTGATTTAGGTTCCGCTGGTAATAATAATGGTTCCTACTATCTGCCGGCTCGACTTAATTGTTTAGCCGCTTGGTAAAATAATTCAGATTCTCGAGCTCATTTACACATGAACTATAAAGAATCACTAGGCAATTTTAGGCGTCTAGATTTGATATCAATTTAAAAATCAAATAAGTAAAATTAAAATTAAAAAAAAAATCTTCAATTTATTAAATATGCATACAACTTTTAGGTTTAGGTATACATTTTACCTAAAATACATAGTTAATACTGGTCAATTAAGAAGGAATATGAGCCTTGCTTGTGTTATAATTATTATATGGTATGATTAATAGTGTCCGTGTCCGTGTCCGTAGCCGTGTCCGTAGCTGTTTCCATAGCTGTTTCCGTAGCCCTGTCCATAACCCTGGTTACCTCCATAATATCCACCCTGCTGGCCGTATCCACTATTGTAACCGTATCCATCATTGTAGCCGTGACCACCGTATCCTTGTTGACCGTAGCCACTGTAACCTGGAAAATAAAACGAATTTGTTGAATATATTGTGTACCAATTATATGGTCATCCTTAAAGCATATCTTACCTCCAGTGAAACCGATTCCAACGCCTACTCCATATCCGCTTCCATAACTGTCATAACCTCCTCTGTGACCTCCATAGCCACCGTAAGATCCACCTCCATAACCACCGCCGAAACCACCACCGTAACCACTGCTATATCCGATAAATCCGGTAGGTGTAGCTGCTGCAAGGGCCAGAGTAGCTGCCAAAAATACACACTGCAAAATACAAAATAATAATTATGATTTTACATAATATACACTACACAAGTTATGAACATTTATAGAAATCTATGCTATGAATAATATTTTTATGGCCGTTAAATACCTAACCCAACCTAAAAAGCTGTAAAATATTGTACTATCTTTTTTTCCTATTACCTGATTTTAATTTACAATTTATTTTTAAAACTATTTTTTTTTTATATTATATTCAATCATAAATTGTTTATAAAACGTTTTAAAATAAAATTAATTTAAGATAGAGGTGTAGTTAAAACAGTACATTTTGCACCCAAAACAATATTTAATATGTCAATTATCAACGCACTACTTATTTAGAATCCAGGTTCTGAAATAATGCACAAAATGAGTACATTATAATGTAACACATTACACATAAGTCGTAAGTCGCTAATCATACGGCTGTAGCTTTTCTCAAATATTTAAGTTGCCGCTTATTCCGGAAAAATCGGGCAAAGAGGTTTTTGTCTGGATTAAGCGAAGCTGAAGGAAATTCCGATTAACAGCTATGATATGTAGCTTAATTTTTTGATGTTTGATTCGGGCTAAAAAAATATAGTATTTGTATTCGGCAGTACCTACCTACATAATATAATATGCGACGGTCCTGAATGTCCAGTGGACTGATAAGACGGCGACCATTGCAGTTATTAAGTATAAGGAAAATTTACTTGTTATTGTTCAAAAATTTAAAAATATACTATACAGTATTGGTGAATTTTCAGTTCGCCGACACGAAATTCGTCGTTAATCAGTATAATTCATGTCTTTTTAACAAAATTATTTATTTATGTACATAAAAAAATATCTGATATAATAAGAAGAAATATAATGTAATGTAACAATATAATTATGTGATTTAATACTACACATACAAATTTTCAATATTCCACGAATTCCGCCACAGTTTTCCACTCATTTATACTCTATTGTATATTCACACTTGTTTTGTGTGATTTGTGAATATCATCATAGTTGTTCACTTAGAGTGTGGGTCCCGATTTTTACAAATTAATTTTAAAATTTAAACCATTCCATAATGATGGAAAAAAATAAAAATGTATAAGTTATGTGTTCGTTACAGTGCCTAATGCTCAAGTTAATATTAAAGCCCAATCAAATATTACTACAAACTAAAATCATAATTTTTATTTTAAAACCACAGTGGACTTTTCGGTTATTTATTAATTTATATACAGGGATAGGTTCACAAGCGTCGACAGTAGGTACCTATTATAATTATTGTATTGCTATGCCAAGAAGAACGTAGGTACTCCACATAATATGATCGTTGTCGGGCATTTTTTAAAAACCATTAAAAAATAGTTTCGGCGAATCGAGTGTCGGCAAAACGGACATAAACCATGATGACATGTACCCGTACCAAATTTAAGTCTGGGTCGAATCTAACTGATAACTAGCTGCAGGTAATCACAGAAAACTCGATTTAATAATATTACAATATCATAGTTATTCGAGTTCAACGGGATTGAATTATGAACATATTTACGAAATATTAAAAAACCGCGCGAGCATATTGTGATATTGGTTATATTATACGAACACGATAGTTCGATTTGGTGGGTACTTGCGAGGAGGTGCCTTAAAATAATAATAATTCACAATAAAATACGTACCAAGACGAGTTTGCAGGAGCTCATGTTTGCAGTTTCTTTCGTCCTCAGTACGGTCGTTATAACAGTAATGATTATTACTGACTGCAGCGGACCACTATTTCTTGGTTCTTCGAGCGATTTCCAGAGACGTCTGATTCGGTATCATCGGACACTCGGTGTTTTATTTAGTACTAAATCCGCCTGTGTGCAGTGCGCGAGTTTTTTTTTCATTTTTCGGTATCTGTCTCTCGCTCTTGGACATTCGTCCGGGACGTTGGCACCGGTTTGGCCTTGCAATTTCGACCACTGTCCGAAAAACCAGTTTTCCTCGTTTTATAATTTTTTTGCACGCGCAGATATACATAGCATTATCTTCACATATATGATGTACCCTTTACCTCTGCACGAGCAGCGTTCCGATGAATAAATTTCAAGATTTATACGAAAGATTAAATGGCGGATAATAATATAATATGCTAATATAATACAGTAAATGTATATTATATAATATCATTATATGCCCATATATACCTAATACTCGTATGATATCGTATTAGGATTTTCTCACGATACCCATATAATTTTAAAATAGACGACTAAGTAGTATATTATTCATTATTAAAAAAAATCTGCATACATTTTATACGTTAAACAAAAAATATATTACGTATGTATAGAAAAAAGTAGTAAATATATTAATTATATTTTATTTTATTATGTTACAAGTTCATCTATGCTGCGAGGTAATAAAATCTAATATTCAGACACATAACCTATGAATTCTACATTTTTTTCCGTTTTGCTGAAACACCACCAACAGTATGCTCCGAAGACTATAATTTTAACGACCATATGATGGTATTATGGACGTATACAGAGTGTTTAACCGTGTTTTAACGCTCCATGTTCTGTGTACCACCCTCGACATTTAAACGCACGTAATATGGTTTAATCATTTAACAATTATATTAGTGATCTAACTTTCAAAATATTTGTTTTCTGAAATATACATGTGAAAAACACGAAAGAAATTTTTTTTTCAATGAATGAATGAACGGATAGGTTGACAAAAAACTATTACACATTTTAATGATGGAGGATCTCTTAAAATATTTGTTTTCTGAAATATGCATGTAAGAAATACGAAAGCAACATGATGAACACTACGTATAATATTATGGTGAATTACTCACATAATATACTATAATTTAAGTATATGCGTGGTCGTTTTTTCTAGTTATACCTGCAACTCGATGACCACTAAAAATGATTGAGTTGTACATTTTTTATTTCATAATATGCTTAACTTTTTTTTTATCACCTATAATATTATAATTTACAACATTATTTATCTTAAATAATTTTCCTTAACTGTCTAATGATGGCAAATTTAAAACCGTTTTCTTAAATGTATCCTAGGTCTGAGCATGACTCATTGCAGAACTAATTTGATAAATGTAGATATCTACTGAGGGTAATCACTAAAGTAAATTAAATGATATTATTTTGTATATTAGAATTAGTTATCATTAATTATTATAGATGGTTTATAGGCACTGTACTACTATGAATTATGATACTCATTGTTCGCAAAATAATATCACATATACTTTATCAAAAGACTGGCATAGTATATAATTTGTTATTGTAATTTACAATTTGTAAATATTACAATTTGTCATTGAGCTTAAAAATAATAATATATTTCAGATGAAAAAAACTATGTGGTATTATTGTTATATTCGTGTAAAATCAAAATAAAGGTAATTAAAAGTCATAATTATATATTTTTTCAAAAATAGTCAGAAATATATTATGTTATTAGGTTTATGGTTTTTCAATTACATTGCAACAAGATATATCGAAACAATACTTCATTGTTTTATAGTATTGAAAATTAAGCATTATTAAAAGTTCATATGTTATACTTACCCATCATAAAACTGAAATCTGACATTCTTCAAAAAATGTTCTAGAATTTAAATCGTTTTTATTTTGTCTGCAGCTGAAATTTTTGAAAAAAGAACGTGTCTGGTTGTTTCCCCAAGGTCTTCAAATTCTATATTTGAATTTCGATAAACAATGACTAAAATGTAACTGTTCATATGACCTTATGTCTTATTTTGAGTTTCCTATGCGATTAGTATGTTTTATTTGTTGAACATGATAATCATGCTAATGGGTTGGCAGCCATTTACCTATTAGTATTTAGAGAAGTCTATTAGTATTCTATTTGTATGATATGTTATTTGGATTGTTTTTGTTCACTCTTCTTCACTATATTGGAAACCATTAGCACGTGAATCATAGACATCGCAATTTTTTCACATGATTTGCATATTTTGTTTGTTTCATAATAGTAGGTATATTTGTATAACATATAATATTATTTTATTGTGATCACTGATCATTGTGTTTCACGGTTTTTTAAAATACAATATTATGTTAGACTAAACAGTCGGTTAAATCTGTGTGTTTTATAATACTGACAATGGTGATTTGTATTATATTGAGTACCCACTGCTATTCCAATTGAATCATAATAATACTTACGCTATATAATTATATAACTGTAGTCTGAATAGTCTAAACTGTAATTATAACGTTCATGATTTTATCACAGAAAAATTAAATAATAATTCTTTTAACCAATGATTACACTCAAAATCGATTATTTCGTTTGTTCTCAATATTATTGTATGCCATATATAATATCATAAATATTATAATAATATATATTATTATACTTATAAACTTTATCTATAGGTAATTACATTTTATAATAATATATTTGGATGTTAATACTAAATAATAATATATACTGCATGTCTTTAAACATAAAAAAATGTAAGACTATTTTGTATTCTTTCAACAGAAAACAGTTCTTTATAATTATTATACTCTAAACAATATTTTTATAAATAGGGTAAATTAAATAAAAGATTTAGGTATCATATTTGATCAAAAATGTTCTCTTCTGCTATGTTGTTAATACGACTAAATACCAGGAATTAGCTTAATTGTGTTTTATTAATTATTAAACGTACTTGTACTGATTTTCACGATGATTATATAATACTTTAAAATTGTTATATTTTACTATAGCACGTTCTAAGCTCGTATACGCAAGTATAATATGGCGAAATAGCTCTTTAAATCAGTCACTATATGCCTCTCAAAAATAGTATAATAAAATTAATATACAAAGAACACCTCATTCCAATTATGATATTACTAGTGGTTTTTTTGCTATTGCTGACTATTGTGACTAAAATAATATTGAAATTGTTGCATGAATTATTAAATAATGTCTTGAGTTGTCTAATTGAGTGTCTTCATTTTAGAATAAATTTACCTATTTTTAGAAATAAATATTTATTTTACTTACCTAACTAATATTTCAAAATAATCTCCTTTTCATATTTTAATGTTTACTGCTAATATACGATAAATCATCATGATCCTCATTGAACTAACTAAGATATTCTAAGTTTATGTATTTATTAGTTAATTTTATACATATTTTTGTATTCTTGATCTGTATTTATCATAGCATATATTTTTTCCTTTAGGTATATTCAGTTGTTATTGTATTTGTTCTCTATAGTAAATTAGGTACTGTAACTTATTCTATGATTCATTTAATTATGTAAATTGGGATTTATTTTCCCTAACAGCGATTATTATTATTATCTATCATAATATGTTTGTACAAATATATATTATAAATATTATACCAACACCCTAATTATCAGTTATTAGTACTCACTTTTAAATGCTTTATATAATTGGAGTTTGAGCGCTTAACAGCAATAATTAGGGTTTAAGTACTACTAGTTAGTACTTAGTAGTTACTAATTTACAAATACTCAATACGCAAATGTATTTATACAAATGACGAACAACAATCATTAACATCATAGTTTGGCTTCAAAAATCATATCGTATATTATAGACCCTGCAATGGATAAATTGTATAATTATTATAAGGTATAACCATTAATACAATTAGGTAATAAATGCCTTAACTATAATATTTCTAAAGATCTTTTTAATCTAGAGCTTTTAATAGTAGGTACGCTGGAATAATAAGTGGATGAGTTTTTATATTAATATGTAAGACAGCACGTTGAGGATTGAGATGCGCTGGGTTTCGTAAAATAAAATGGCAAGGCTTAATTTTTTTATTTGTCTGTTGGTGACCTTGGTACATACGTCACGTATTTCTTCAGTAGGCATCTATTGTTTTAATAAATTATTCAATATAATACTATAATAAATGTTAATTTTTTCTTATTTTGATAAAACCAACTATGATGATCCTATGAGTTAAAATAAAAAAACGGAATGGTATTGACTAAATAGTATTTGAACAACATAGACTGATTGTGATATAAAATATTGATGATTACAATAATTAAAACATATAATTATCCCATTTTATACGATGATCTATTTAAATCGTGCGTGGAGCTCGATCTTATCATTATGAGCGTAGTCTGTGTAAATGCTCGTGTTCAGTTTAGCATCCATTCAATTTGCAGTTATATAGACCAACGAGCTACACATCGTCCACAGCAAATATCGATCAAAGTGCTTTGGTAAGATTAATCATTATATATTATATATTATATTTTTATATTTACATAATAGGTATTATAATAAATTTTATGGATTTTACACAGTACACACTACATATGTATATTTAATTCCAATAAAACCAACCCAGCATTAACTTAAACATAATATTAAACATTATTTAGGTACATAGTATTTTTTTTTTAATATTTAATCATATATAAATTTAAATAAATTGTATCAAGTTAATATTAAATTTTTATCAAGTGTAAAATGTAACATGTAAACTATGAACGAGTAAAGTTTTAAAAATTAAAAGCTCTTTAATCTTACAAAATATTAAACAAAATTACATAAAATTAAATATTCTCTAATTTATACTTCGTTTTTAGAACCATATAATATGAATAGTTTATAGAATGAAATAAACAATACAAAAAATTTTATTTAAAAATACAATATCAGGA